GTGAAACTGCTTGTAACAGATTGGTCTTGAACTCTGTTGTGCATGCATACTTTATAGTTATAACATTCTTGCTCATTTTTATTGTTTATAACAGTGCTTAGAAGGAAGGTCCGTAGAGTGTGGTCATCTCACCACACCAGAGGTTCCATCAGTGCCCATGGCTTGTGCAGCAGTTTTGGGCCAAGTAAAACATTCACCAAGTCCGACAATCACCATATTACCCAGATCTCACCCCTTGCGACTTCATCTTTCCAAAAAATCAAATCCCACTTGAAACAAACAAGATTTCAAGATGTCGAGGAAATCCAAGAGAATGAAGTGAGGCAGCTTTTCACTATACCGAAAAAGAAGTTCTAGGAATCCTGCCATCAATAGTAATAATGCTGGATAAAGTGCGTGACTTAAGTGGACTACTTTGAAGGAGATTAAATGCTGAGTTGATATGTGTTGCAGTTTTCTTTTTATAGCTGTTGTGGTAGAATCCACCTAATTTGCATAGTGGAGTACCGACCATATAAATATGGTTGGTACCGGGAAGAGAGGGAGGAATCAAGAGATTCAACCAGAGACACTGCCTGACTGAGACTCAGTCAACACATTCTCCAGGAACGGTCTTACCAGGAATATACAAAAGACTATATGTAAATATTGTGTACACTTTCTTGTTTCAATACATTTTGTTCTAAGTACATTTTGTGTTGCATTATTATTCCATGCATTAGTCAAGTTTCAACAATAGCGCAAATATGGATAGTTTTTGATTAAACCTCATGTATTTTATATATAACATATACATTTCACCCCAAGCAAGGCAATAAAGCCACAGAGACACAGTGTTATTGAGAGTAAGAGAATATGAGAAAATGAGAAAAAGAAAACATTATTAAGTAGAGAGTATAATAAAGGAACAGGAATTAAGAAGACAGAAGATAATGATTGACATTGCATTTAAATTTTTGAAGATTGAAGTTGATTGGAAAGCAAGAAGCTGAAAGAGACTTCCCCAAGTGATAATATATGAGAGAATATGATATACAAACTCTCCTCTGAGACTAATAGTGTGGTACGCAATAAAAACAGCAATAAAACACTAAATGAAATCCTCTATGTTATGCATCTAGATAAATGCTAAATGCTTACAATTTGGTTTCTTTATATCTTCAGCATTATCTCGATGTAGAATGATAACTTGTGTTTATTGCATTTCGCTACACCCTCCCCGCCGCCCGATATTATTCTGTTGATAAAATCCTTGGCATAAGGATGTCCTTTTGGTGGACTTTTCTTCCAGATGGAAGTAACCAAAAGTGTTCCAAAATGTTTTATTGCATTATTCTTGCTGTATGCAGCCCTTCATTGTCATGGCAGAGAACAACATTTTTTCCTATTGATGAGTGCTGGGTGCTTTTCGAACAGACTTTTATGGACATATTGCAGCTGCTGGATGCATAAATGTGCATTTAGTGTTTCAGTGCATTTCATCTAAATGAATAATGTACCCTGACAATCCCACATTATCTTTCTTCCACAGAGCTCAACTTCTGGGATCAGTTGGAGGATTTATCCTTGTCGATCAACTGTCTTTTGTGGTGAACGTTGTCACATGTTAGTGTGCTTCAGATTTATATTTTAACTGCCATGTATGATTAATAGTTAAGATGATACATGTGTCATTACAACTGATTAAAAAGAAAACAAGAAAAAAAATATGGAAATTACTTCCGACTCAATCTGAGATAGTTAAGAATCACTGAATATAAGAAATTCTAGCGATAGAAATAGATGTGTGGGTGAATAATACAAGGATCGAGTTCTGAGTGAATAGTCTGGCATTGTTACAACAATGGAAGAATTCAAGAGTGCTGGTTTTTGAGTAGGATGGTGATGATGATGATGATGATACATTGTCTACATTCAGTAGCAAAATTGATGGTTAATCCTTTTAACGGCAAGTAGAAAACTGAGGAAGGCAAATGGGGAAAAAAGAAACTGAAAGAAGAAGGTGGGAAGGAGAGGCAGAAAGTGAGTGCAGGTTTGAAAGTAATATAAAGGAGGAAAAAAAAAGAATAAAACAGCCAAAAGATGTAGAAAAAAAATGGGGGTTGCAAATAAGCAGAAGTAGAATGTGAGAAACACCAGGAAGAAGATGAGAAAAGGAGGGCAGCAAGAGGAGTAGGAGTAGGAAAGGAGGTCAACAAGGGAGGGAGGTGAACAAAGAAGAAAGGAGGACAGCAAGAGGGGGATGGATGGGGGAAAGGAAGAGAGGAATAGAAAAGTAAGGAAGCAAGTGGGAGAGTAGGAAGAGGGCAGCAAGAGGAGAAGAAAAGAGAAGCAGTAAGAGGGGGGAAAACAAGGACAGCAAGAGAAGAAAATAAGAGCAGCAAGATGGGGGAAATAAGGGTAGCAAGAAAAGGAGGGCAGCAAGAGGAGGAGGAGAAGAAAAGGAGGGAAGCAAGAGGAGGAGGAGAAGAAAAGGAGGGAAGCAAGAGGAGGAGAAAAAGAAAGCAGCAAGATGAGAAGGATATATGAATATGGATAAAAAGAACAAGAGGTGGATAAGAGAAAGGGAGGAAAAAAACTATGGTAGAACTAGGAAAAGGCAAGATTAGAATACGTGTTTGATAAAGCAATGTGGAAGGCCATCTGAACAATGAGCAATGTTACACAACAGTTTAAAAAGAAAAAATAAGTAAATAAACAAACACCAAGTCAGAAAAGTATGCCCCATTAGAGATACATAAAAAGAAAATAATCGATAGATGAAGAGAATGCCTGGTGCTAAAGTAGGCTGTTATGATGCTGATAAGCACAAGGTACTGTCAGAACTGCAACTCCTTTCTTGATAGGCCTACTTTTTGTGTGGGTGTTTTTGTTTTGACCTGCTTGAATCCGAGACTGTTTAAGTGCAAAACAGAACACGCAATGAAATCTAAAAACATTTTAAAAAAAGAGAAAAGATAAAAGGATGATCAAGCTTATCGTAAGAGAAAACTTTTCATTTTTAACACAAATTTAATAAAAAAAAAAAAAGAAAAGAAAGAGACAAAGGAATTCATTCAGACATTAAAAACTTAGAAACAAATAACACCTTTTAGATAATTAATTTGAATTATTTTAAAAAGTTATCTCAATATCAATATAGGCCAGGCGTCTTTTGCATTACAACTGATTGCTAACTCGTTCAGGCAATTTTAGAATAAAGGATGAAAGTAACTAACAAGACATTTGTAGATAATCAATATTCGATTAACAAACAAGAAAGCAAATTTTATAAATATTTATTGTTTTTTACTTTCATCCTCAAAACTTATTAGATAAACCAATTATTGATTACATACAAAAATGTCTTTCAGACACTTGGTCAGGAATGCCTAAGCTATCATCTGTATACAACCATTTTTCCAGATCAATAATTAAAAATGGCTTCAAGCAAATGAATCTTTTAGGTCTTAATGATGACGACCCTTCATCAGACCCTAAAGACTGGTGCTACACAATAAGAAGAAAAAAAATAAGGCAAAATAAGAAACAATATATATATATATATATATATATATATATATATATATTCTAAACTATTATCCTTATACAATAATTTTATAGTTATATATATATATATATATATATATATATATATTGTCGTGCCTCTTACATTTCCTATACAAACAATTCAACGTCCAAAGCAGGCTGTGTAAACACATTTTATGCACATAGGCTCTACACATACATCTGCTTTAATCAAAACAAAATAATAATATATTATGACCAGTCAGACCACTCCCACTCAAAAACTGAAACCTTGATTTCAAGCCAACTAAAAACTATATATACCCAAATTCAAACAGTCCCATTACAGACCAGCGTTTGATGTTAACATTGACATGCTGAGAGAGAGAGACATGACACAGATCAGTGTTTGATGTCAACACTGACACACTGAGAGACAGACATCACCACCAACAACAGACACTACCAATGTCTATTTCACTTCTGATTGCATCAGTCTTTCTCCCTGTTGCCTTGGCTACAGCAACAAATAGAATGTACCAGTTTTTATATGTATGTAAATAAATTATACATTTATTTACCACAATTCAATGTCCTCTTTTATTCGACTCTTGGATTTATGTTTGCTAAGGTGGAGAAGGAATTAACCTCCACAACAGTAACAACAACAAGCTTCTCTCTTCCAGATTACCCATTTTTGCAACAAATATTACATATTATATATATATATATATATATATGTGTGTGTGTGTAATTCAAGTCAAAAGCAAAGCAACCATAAAGATAGTAACAATGCAAAGAGTGCACAAAAGGGATACAGTTAAGTGGTTACAGCATTCTGACTTCAAGGCAAGAAGGAACAAATGGTTCATTTCACCATTACCATTATAAAAGCACATCAATGGCCCTCAAGATTGATGCACGATATTTGACAAGCTCAAAATTTCTGTATCAACGTATATCAACTGATACAAGAGTAATAGACTGATAAGAGACAAATTATCTGTAATTGTCAACATTATCAAACTATCAAAAGAATTACCAAACTATTATCAACATTATCAAACTATCAAAAACATTTTTTGTCAATTACATTGATATTGATCATCAAAAGATAGTAATTTAAAGTTTTTAATTGGGACCATCCCAATCAGTTAAAATAATAATTTGTTTAGTCTATGGTATTCTTAGTATCTTAGAATAAAATTCATCAAAATTGGGTTTTTTCAGTCATTTAATATTAACCTAAAAAGTAAATTGATTATATTGATTGATTCATTTTCTAAGAATTTTTGGGGAGATAATAATGATTTAGTGATACAAGTCTTACTATTTAACACAGAGCTGAAGGGAGAAGAGATGAATTTATGCCTTTCCCAAGGGTATTTGTGCCTAAGTAAAAATGTAATAAACCCAACTGAAATTGAAACTTGGATCTCCAGTTAACAATTCCAAGCTGTTATCCATTACACCAGCTGCACATCCAAGCTTAGAGCACCTGGTATTCCAAAGCAGTCACCCATCTCAGTACTGACCAGGCTCGACATTGCTTAACTTCAGTGATCTAATGGGAACAAGTGTTTCAACATGATATGGCCGTAAGCCCAAGAAGTAAAGGAAGAAATAAAAATAGACTACTTCATGTAATGACAAATTCCTTCCCTTCAAAATAATGCTTTTAGGACTTCCCACACTTTGATCATGCCTTCAACCTTTCAAAATCTATTAAATCTTTTTTTTTATTGAATTGTTTGCAGCTGCTCCATTGAATTCTAATTAATCTTGATCCCAGTCCATTCAGTGGATAAATACAAGGATTTTAAAGTGATAATTTAAATCAAATTTGAATACAAAACAATCTACACAATTTTAAAGGATAACAATTGAAATCTTTTTGTTGGATAAATATTAATATTTTTATCTCTGATGTTAAAAGAGTCATTGTGGGTCAATAGGAACTGAAATTTTTGGAAATTAATTTTCATGTCTTGTTGTGCCATGCAGCTGTGACCTCTTAGCAACTCAAGATCATGCTGTAGTGTCAGTTAACATCTCCTTCTACTACTCTCCCCCCCCCAGCAAAGAAGCTCCTACCAACAAAATATCTTTCTGCTATGAATGAGCAGACTGGGACTTGTTCCGTGATTTCCTTCACGATGTTCCCTGCAATGTGGTTTTCCACAAGATAATATAAGGATAAATCACACTCATCTCCTTGGTTCACAGCTACTTGCTCATCTGCTATTGCCCATAGGAATCACTTGTTCCATCTGAACCAAAGTGACATGTTTGATTGCAACAGACATCTCTGCCTATAATGAGTGCAAGCATGTCCTCAATGAAGCAAAGCTACTATTTGCTGAAAGAATGAAACAACATATTGCATCTTGCAAGTTTGGTTCTAAAGATTATTAACAACTCTGCAAGAGTGTACTGGACAACAGCAAATCCACAATACCTCCTCTATTCAACCAATTTGAGGTCCTAACTTCCACAAATGATAAGGCTGAATGCTTTGCTCGGAAATTTTCATCCAATTCAACACTCCTCATCCAGAGAACCCACTCCTGATTTTCCCTCTAGAAATGAGTCCCTATTGAGGGAGATGAGCATAACCCCATTGATGATATTGGGTGCTGTCTCTAAATTAGACTCCTATAAGTTTAGTGGCAGGAATGGGATGCCAGTAGTAGAAGAAATGTGCTCCTGAACTGGCTCCCGTCCTCTCCAAACTATATAACTATTGCCAGCCTGTTGGAAGTTCTCATCTGTTATCCAAGTTTTCTTGATATCTCTAAAGCATTTGATAGGGGTTGGCATGCCGGCCTTCTTTGTAAGTTTCAGGTATTGCAGGATGATTATTTGACTTAATACAATCATTCCTGTCAAACCATGAAATGAAGGTTGTTCTAAATGGGTTCTCCTCCAGTTCCTTTCATACAAACACTGGTGTTCCCCAAGGCTCTATCCTGGATCCTACACTGTTTTCGATCTTCTTCAATGATCTTCCTTATGTCATCAGTTCTCAAGTAGGCATCTACGCAGATGACATTACTCTTTACTCCTGCCTCAATATTAAATCCAATATTGCTGTCAAAACTAACCTGGCCATTGGTCTTGAAAAGTACCTCCAATCTGTGGTTGACTGGGACAGGAAATGGCTTGTAAACTTTAATGCCTCCAAAACAAAACTGCTCTCATTCACCCACCATAGACAACCCTCCCTGCCTCCAATCAGAATGGCTGATGCCCAACTCCACAAGAGCAGCTCCCTGCACCTGCTTGGTCTCCCACTTTCTACTAATCTGAGGTGGTGACAACTACATTGAATCAATAGCTTCATCTACCACAAATAAAGTTGTTTTTTTGTGTCATGCCAGAAGTTTTTTCTCACCTCAGTCCATCCTTCAAATCTACAAATCTAACATTCATACTTGCGTTGAATACTGTGACTATATATGGTCTGGTGCTCCTGCTGTTCACCTCAAAGCCCTCGACAAAATCCAGAGATGAATATGCAATATGATAGGTCCTAATCTGGCATCTCGTCTACAGTCACTCTCTCACAGACATGCTGCAGATTCCGTCTGTCTTTTTTACAAGTATTTTCATGGCAGCTGCTCTGACATGTTACTTTCACTGGTTCCCAAACTGCATGAATTTAAGCGTGCTACTAGGTTGGCATCTTGGTCCCACCTTTTCACTCTCGAAATGGTTAAATATACCTGTCTCTTCTACTCCAACAATTTCTTATCTCGCACTTCCCATCAATGGAACTTCCTCCCTCTTACTTGCTTCCCTGATAGCTATAACCTTGAAATATTCAAATGTAATGTCAATCGACATCTTCTGATGCCTTGATCCTGATCCCCGTCCTTCTCTGTGTCCTTTTCTCAAACACCCTCTTTACTCCTGCTCTCACTTTCTGTAACCCCTTGCATGTAGTGACACTCATGCCTTGCCTGGGGTGATATGCTTAAAAAAAAATAAATGATAAGCTTTTAAAGTTGGACTATGCAATATGTCTTGCTGTGGCAGTGCCTTGTGGCAGTGTAATGGCCAACAAGCTGGTGTCATGGAACATTACTTTTGAGTAGCAAGATTCACCCTCCCTGGGGTCCCAATACTTGTGACCTGGGACTGTAAATAAGCTATGTCTTGATGCACTGTTAGTGCTAAAACAGCAGTCTCCAAGTTCTTTAATATTCACATAATATATTTTACACATTTCTAAAAGGAAAAAAAAACATTAGCAAATGCCATTTCAAAATAATCAATTATTTACCTACATATAAGAAAAGCAAGCTATTCATTTCTATATTTAAAATTGCTTTGATGATAGTGAAGTGTGGGGCTAAAATAAAGAGGAGGCAAAGAAATATTTGCTGTGTTATAAGGGGCAATTATCAATTTCCATCAGTCCCCCTATATAACAGTGAATGCTACACAATCTCCTCACAGATGAAGAAGTGACTTGATGCATTCCAAAAGCTAATCAGAGTATTAAGAAACAGAAATACTTTGTTAGAAAAGAGTACTGAACTGTTATGTGATAGCTGTCCTCTTATATAGCAGTGAACACTGAACAATCTCCTCAAAGATGAAGAAACTTGAGGCAACAGGAACATGGTTCTACAGAAGGATACTGAGAATACCATAGATTAAACAAATGAGCAACAACAAAGTTTTAGAGAAAACAAAACACTAAAAAGACACTTATATGTCAAATCAGAAAGAGACAGCTTGGAAAATTTGACACTCACAGGACATATTGAAGGCAAGAGGTACAAAGAAAAATAATGCATAACTTACCTAGAGAGCTTGAGTAAAACAGACAAAATTTATTAAGACTTACAAAGGACAGGAAATTGTAGAGACCCATGACTGCCAATGGTCTGTAGGGATATGGCACATAGAAGAAGTACACAGGCAGTTTTATTTGCACCTGGTAGTAAATTGTAAGGAGGCAATTTCTGCAATGAGGAGTTATTATTTACCCTCTGACTATTATCTTAATCTTCATTATTATCACATATTGGCCACTGTACCATCTTGCCTTCATCAAGTATTTTTCTGAGCAGTACTAAGAACTAGATGAGATAGCCCTATGCATGATAAGTGTAATGTGAATGATTTAAGCCCATAGATTCAATAAGGGAATTTCAAACAGAACCTTTTGAGATTACCTGGATAGAAAAGGACCTGATGAAGTCCAGGACACAATAGCTGAAACATTGCAATAATAACAACAAAGATGAGGAAAATAGACCGAGTAAGTAATGTATAGGGAAAGCTATGTAAGTGTTATCAGAGATAACTACTGAAAACACTGTAGTCAGTTTCCGGTTAATAAAGGATGTCAGAAATTGTGTTCCTGACCAGTGATATGTAATGATTTTGTATAATCGGGCATCCATGTGTGTGTGTGTGTGTGTGCCTGAGGCAAAGAATCTACTTTTACGCATGAGCATTCTCTTAACTACCACCATCTGAATGACGATGTTGTTTCTAATTACTAAAATGTATGCCAAAAGATTATGGAGCCAAACTTGTAAGACCAGTTTTCGACTGAAGAGTGCTGACCATTCATTGTACAATAAATATAAATGATGCACAGGCAAGCTTTGTGCTGAATAACAATGACCATGAATAATGGGCAATGATCAGTGATGGACATCAACTATCTAGCTATCGACAATTCAGGTGCTGTGGTTTTGCAGAAGATGTGTCATCATCATTAGTTTGATAACTGGGTGTGGTTGTAGGATTGCTGTGCAGCTGATCACCTGGTCAGATCCCTCCACATATCTGGTTTGAAAACTGGAGAGGTAGTCATTCATGCATAGTCTGCCTCGAACAATTAGACCTGTCAAAGCCCATCCCTTTCTAGATCAAACTACAGCCAATGTCCTCTATCATGAAGGCTCATTTTGGTCACAGACATGAGACCATTGCTTCTATTAGAGGAACTCTCTATCCTAGATGTCAATGAGTCTAGGAACACCTCTACCCAGTAATGCCATATCATTACCATACTGACTGCATACATACGTATGGAGCCCAGTTTACTTCATTCTGTTAGATGACCATTGACCCTACAAGAAGATTCATCTGCCTCTTGACTTATTTTGTTAATACTGTTGGGTTTCTGAGAAAAATAACAATAACATGAAAACATTTCAGAAATTGAAGAAAAGAGAATATATAGCTTAACTAGGTGACATCTACTTGGGAAGCATTTTTGGCCCAATTGGTAAAGCACCATCATAGTAAGACAGGCTCTCACCAAAGATAAAAAATGTTATTTCAAATAACTTAATGCAGTTTAGATGTTAATTATATATATATATATATATATATATATATATATAAAGCTGTCATGAGTTTTCCTTCCCAGCTGAAGTCCTTTTATTGTGAATCAAAGACTAAAAGTCATCATATTGCATGTGTCTGCCGAGAGGCATGTACTGGCTGATATTGACTGTGATCCGGAGAGGTTAAACTTTGCAATAATAACACATAAGGATTGTCGTTCGGCATTTTCATGGCAAGTCTTTTGCACCATTACTTTTTTATCAACAGATCCAGAAAGTGTGGATGGT